GAAATGTGTGTGTGTGTGTGTATAATAATATCTGAAACAAAAGTGAACTGGAGACAAGGTGTAAAATTTATTAACATGTTCCACTCAGAGCATCTGCCCTCTTTGGTTAGAATAAAAAAACTAAAAAAAAAAAAAAATTACACTTTATATATATATATATATATATAATCTTTGAATATATGCTCTTTAGCGCTAGAGGTCGTCATCAGTGATGTTCTGATTTGGGCAGTTTCAGGTCTTTCAAACATCATGCTGCCCTCAAGTCGACCTCATCAGAGCTGATCAGTCTCTGATCCACCCTCTAAAATCACAATGGTGTGAGCTCTATTCAAATTGTTTACAGGGGATTTTTTTTTTTTTTTTTTTTTTTTTTTTTTTTTAATTGTGTGGATACCCTATCATTGGATATTTGGAAGGTAATTATGTTTTCTGTTTTTTTGGGGGTTTTTTTCCTTTTTTTTTTTTTTTTTTTTTTTTTCTTCCTCCCCACATCCCTCGTCAAGTTTCAACTCACCAGCTAATAGTTACTGTTATTAATAAAAAAAAAATATTCAACCATAAAATAACTAAAAATTTACATTGTTTTTACGATTAAAATAAATAAATTACGACTTATGCAGCATGTTAAAATGAAAATAAATATATAAATCTTAAAATAAGATTAAACTTCAAGACCCTATTGCATCCAGACTTAGTCCTCTTTTCAAATAAGCTAAAGAAAATCATTATGTGGAAATTAATAGTCTGTTATGAGGTTAATACAGAAGAAACGAATCAACAGAAAAAAACTAAAAATCTGATTTAAGTACTGGAAAATTGTAGGGGCAATGGGTTGAAGGCAAGTTGCAAGCCAATTGAAGTAGGCACAAAGGGTTTTGTAGCAAAATCACTAGTCAGCACCCTAACAGATATTGGGATAGTAGGAACAAAAAAACGAAAGGCTATCCAAACTATTACTGAGACAGCAGAAAAAAACAGCTAAAAATGGTTATGGCTAAAATGAGCCAAGTGTATGGACAAGCAATCAGGAAAAAAAAAGTCTAAATTATAAATGCCGTATTTCATTTGGTTTGTAAATATATATAGTCGGAAAACTGTTGTAAATTTTTTATTTTTTTTTTAATACGGTTCTTTAACCAGCCATTGTAAATAATATATATGGACCTCCACAATTTTCCCCCTTGAGAAGGGGGAAGAAAAGAATAAATGAAAGTTTTTTTTATTTTTTTTAAAAACAATTCTCGCAATAACATTTTGGAACTTATTTATTGAACTAATCTACTCTATTTTTTATTCATTATCATTATTTTATTTATTTATATTCTGCCAATTTCAACTCCTTTACCACATTCCATTTCCTCCCAGTGTAGACTTCAATATTTGCTCCAGCCACTTTTGGATCCTTGGAGAACTCATATTGTATTACTGTTCACACTTTAGCGACTTTGTATTCTTCTACAAGGCTTTTAAATGGGAGTTGAAGTGTATTAGAATTACCATAAAGGGCAGCGCTGCCGAGACTCTTTGGTAGACCTAGCCATCTTCGTAAATGAGCGTTAATCTTTTTTTTCTATCTGTTCTACAGAAGAAGTAGTGAACTCGTAGATGGTCAACGGCCACGATATTTTGGGCAGGATAACATGCTAATAAATCCATGCCTTGTATTGACCGGGTAAGCCAGACTTTATCTAACCATGCTTCTAGGATGTCCTTTGTTTCCTGGATTGCGACAGTCCTTTAGGGTATTGCCAAAATGCTTAGCCAAGTTCTTGATAGGGTTTTGCTTTATAGTCGGGATATATTCACCGGACAATTTAAAACAATCCCTCTCTGATGTTTTTCTTTTTTCAACACTAGTGACCTTGATTTGGCAACATTGAAACTCATCCTCGTTCATAAAATAAGTTTTTCCAAACCTCTTAGTAGCCACCTCACACCAATCACAGATGAGGATGTTATGATCATATTGTCCATATATGCTCTTATTGGAGGTTGCTGTTGGCCAGATCTTGTTAAAAGACCTCTGCATTCTATTTCTGCAGCTTTTATGAGCATATTCATGGCTAAAGAAAAAAGGGTAGCTGAGATGGTGCAGCCTGTTATAATTCCTCTTTCCAATCTATGCCATGCAGATGTTTCCTGCTGCTGTTCTCATTTTAAAATTATTATAATAGTCCACTATAGTCTCTATAATTTTAGCGGGAACATGATGGCATTTTAAGGATTCTTCTACCAACTTATGTGGGATTGAACTATAGGCGTTCTTGTCCAGCCATAGGAAAGCCATATCACCCTTATGTGCTTTCACATCTTTTAGCAGCTGTATAATGACACCTGTATATTCCATGCACCCTGGTATGCCTAGGATACCTCCTTTTTTTTTAACAGATGTCGATATATTTATTATTTAAGAGTAAATCTGTTAAGCGTCAATTTAAAATACTAAAAAATATTTCCCCCATGACGTTCAATAGGGAGATGTACCTAAATTGATTTACTG